TTCTTTATGGTTTCAATAATAAAATATTATAATTTATTGTATTGTCATTTATCTTTTTGTAGTATATTTAGTTTTTGAGATCACTGGTTCATGATTGGATTTTTTGTACTTTGTAACTGGAGTATATATTGGTGTAATAAAGGCCATGATGTACTGTTTTTGGCTGCTGTCACATAGTAAAACTTTGGTTTCGCTTAAAAATGAACTGATTGCAGTTTTATTGGCCAATTCCAATTTTTATTTTCAAAATAAAATGAATTATTAAACTACAATTTGTACTGATTTATGTAACAAAGCAAATGTCAGGTGCTTAAATCATTTTCCAGTGCGTTTATTCCTTTAACATATAACAGGGCAGGTGCTTCATTGTCAAATCTTTTCTATTTCTCACTTGTTTCTAAATTTGTGCTTTCATCCTTTGTTCTTACCACATACTTTAGGTTGCTGGCTTGTGTCTCACTTTGAGCTCTGGATAGCTTTAGTTTTAGCCACTTTTCCTTTGTAGTTTCTTTAAAATGCACAGGGGATGATCGGGTATGTGGTTTGTTGGTTTGAGCGTTTTTGTGGTGGTGTGCCATAGATTACTTTGGGTAACTTCCACACTAACATGATAGTGTGTGGCTATAAGTGTGTGTGTGAGATTTACCTGCACCATTGTGTGCATGTTTTGCACCCACAAAATGGACCAGTTCATAAGTGTCCATACTGGAGGCTAACTGGTCGGAAATCGTCCCATGTTGGTCCCCGGAGAATCGATTGGTGCACCTCTAGTTTGTTTGTTTTTTCTTCACTGTAATGAACCACACATATGTGTTGCTATCATGACCCAACATAAAAAAACACTTGTTTGGCACAATGTGTCATAGTGTTTTTGTAATTCCAAACCAAAGTAACACTTATAAATAACTTTTTACGTGCTGTTTTTTATATATTTCCATGCAGCCACTGATACTTTCTGTCGCTTTTCCATTCATATTTGTAGAACTATTAATTCATCACCTTTAGCCTAATGTTTGAATGTTACAGCAGAATGCTGGAGCCAGCAGGTGGCACAGAACATATAATCATGCATATCAGTTCAGTGCAGAATCTGACACCCTCAAGCAGACACAGACCCCCACTGTACTGGATGTATCACTGGAATGCCCTCCACAACATGTTATGTAACACCTGCAGAGAGAGAAAAAACGTGTAATTTAGTTAGACCATTTCAGGTCTCTTTTGTTTTGTACATTGTTCTGCAGGGAATCGTGTGTTACGTTGAAAAGTCTTGGATTTTAAATGACCCTCGTCTGTTTTAAGCTTTCTTGTCCTTAAAGTGTCTCTTTGGTGTCTAAAGAGAGGCTTGTTAGTGGGGTTTCCCTGAGCTGTACACACAACTGGCATACCTCCCTGCAATGGTTCACATACGTGTGTGTGCTGTAAGGGCGGGTGCATATATTCTATTTCCAGAACTAGTCCTGAGCCACTTTAATCTCCCTGCCTTGTCTCCATCGCCATGGGCAGAAGGAAAAGAAAAGTCCCCCCCTAGCCTGCCCACCCCACTGTTGGGGAGCAGTGTTGCTGAGATTGAGTTGCAGGTTCACTGAAAATAGATTGTAAGAGGGAAGAATCTTTTCTGTCAGGGAGAAAGAGGGTTTGATAGAGACTGTCTCAGTCAGGAAGACAGCTCTGTTAGTGCTGCACTCCAGGGGAAAGGACTAGACTCAGGCGTTTAACTGAGGTAAGACCTCATGATGTGGGTTTGTGCATGCATGTGGATAAACTTGCATAGATGTGGGTGTGTTCACGTGCTGCCAAAGCGATGCAGGTATATCCCTGTATCCTTTTTGTCCTGCAAATTTGAGGCTATATCCAAACGAATCTTTTCTATTTATTTTTTTCTTTCTCACAGTTACCACTAGCATCAACACTAGGTCTTTGTTTTAGGACCCCTTAAACCATGGTGTTCCACAGACTGTGTGACAGGCCCCCTGGTGGGGCATTGAACCTCAGTGGGGAGTTGGGTTTTTGGCTTGCTTGGATAACCAGGGGAACGATATGAAAAGAAGTTCATCTGAATGAATATCATCTAATGATGGAAAACAAACGGGATGTTTTTCTTTTAAATCCAGTTTTGAAGATATTTATTTTAGTAAGATTCTGCAAGGATTGGTGGGACTGGTGTTGCAAACTTTTTTGGGGGGGTATTTGAAAGTTTGATAAGCTCTGCTATAAGTAGATACACAATGAACACTGACATTTTTTTTAGCTTGAAAACCAGATGCAAAAATTATACCAACTTTTTCTGGCTGATTGCATCTTGTAAGCCACTGCATATCCTTAATTGATTCGTCACGCTCCTATCACGTGGCCTTATACTGGAAGAAAACAATGACATCAGCTTTGACTCCCAGGAGTTGATTCAGATATTGAATTGCATGCATTGCTGACCTTTAGTGTCCCTTGAAATTCTGCATTGTATTGTGTTTTTCTACAATGTTTCCTTTTTAACCTTTATTTGATGTCTAAAGTACTATAAGAAACTGTGCAGGATGGTAACCTTTTTTTTCCAACTGAGGCTGTCTGTGTGTGCCTCTGTATGCGTGTGTTTGTTTGTGTGCATGGCTCAGGCCAGTGGTGAGTGCCAGGGTGTAAACTAAACATTTCCTTATGGTGAAAGGAGGTTTAGCCTTTTTAACTCACTCATCCCTCCCTCCCAAGTTAATCCATCATTCACACAGCCAAACATTCTAACTTATGTAAGCTATAATTTTGAAATTCAACTCAGTTTCCCAAGTTCCCATGACACCCCATATGTCATGCTGAATTCTCTGGAAATATGTGTAAAATGATGCAGGAGACATCTAGTATTTCCTATTTGATGTGATGGCAAATCACCATGGGCTTGAATATTTCTCTCAATGGAAGCATGGTGTATTGTAGCTTCCAGCAATATGTATGTATTTGGCACAGCTAACATTTTTTTTCAGCATTAAAGAGGGATCAGATTTTAGGGTGTGTAATCTGTTGAAGGTGACATGCCACAGTGGCTTGTATACAGTTTGTGTGCAGTGCAGGTAGTATCTTGGCCGTGTGTACTTGCAATTTGAGTATGTAGTTATTTACATATTTACATATAAGCTGCATATAAAAGTCTTTTTGTATGCATATCTTATCTGCCTTATCTTTATGATACATGATCTGTAAAAATACATAGAGAAATAAAAATAAATTAAACTGATATATTGTCCATGGTTCTAGAGGAGCTTTGTTCCTTGACTTTCTTTTCTTATGAAACATGCTGATGAGTTCAAATATGGGAACTCTGGACTGGAGGGTTGTTGGAGCTTGACCCTTCACTAAAATTCAGTATATCTCAGCTACAGCTCCTTTGATTTTCAGCCCGTCTGTTTCTTTTAAGTTTTCAGTATGATTTTGCTTTTAACAATATGTGGATCAAAAATCCATTTGGTGCTCACCGGGACACACGTGTGTATCCAATAAATGTGATTTTGCAAAAAATCACTTAAAAACTTTCAGGAAAAAAAAAAAAGAGAAGAAATGTTTTAAGTCTACCACCTTTATTCGTGTACTCTGAATAAAAACAGAATAATACCCATTTTAATTTCAAGGCATTTTTAGCTAATATTCTAATTAGTTTCATGTATAATCTAAGTGATATTTCTATGAATTGTAGCAATTTAAACCTGAGATTCTGTAATTCCCAGTTATAAAGATATTCCACAGCTACAACTGTAGTTGTGTAACCACTTACCAACATGCATATTAACTCAGTGGCTGTTTGGTTTATGTCCTGTGCGTCTAATAAAGGGCATTGTTTGCCCTGATGTATACTTTTCTATGTTCTTCCATTATGCTCTTAATGTACTTTTGTCAGATGAGTGTAAACACAGCTTAGGGTGTGTTTTAGAGTGACAAAATATGTTAGCCCTGTCATCATAAGATGTAAATGGCTTTTCTGTCATTCCTAATCCCAGCAGATATAGACAGGGTTTCTCTGCAACAGTATGAACTTAATTTTAACTCAGAAAGTGTTTGTGCTATAAGACATTTCTCATGTGTGGTAACTTAATAAAAACACATCTGGCTCTGCTCTGCCAATAGTGTTCTGTCTCTCATCCCTCTGTTATGAATGTGCCTGTGGAGAATCTACTTGTCTGACTATATGCAGTTTTCCTTCCCCCTTTCTTACCATCATGTAAAATTACTGTGGTTTTAGCACAGTCGATCAGACTAGTGCTTTTACTTTTTTTCATGAAGTCATTTTTTTCCCACTAATAGTTGGCTTGTTTCTGTTCCATCCAGTATATTTAGTGAATAATTTATACATTTCCCCTTAACGTTTATCTCCTCTGGAAACAGCGTGTAGCTTGTTATAATAATTAGCCTCCCCCTTGCTTTTCACTTTCAGCAGAAAGCAAAGAGGGGTCATTTTTGGATGAATTGTATCAAAGCTCCTTCAGAGAGAGAGACACAGGCAACTATTGAAGTTAGACTTAGGGCTGCAGTTGCGCTGCTGCTAAAACAAATGCTGTCTCTTTATTCTGCTGTACTGTTCAATTTTGCAGTAGAGTTATGCTACCGCTGAACATTTTGGAGCCAGCAGGGCTTGTTGAGAGCATGAATAAAAGAGTTCCTGGGGTTGAGTGGTGCAGGATCCTGCTGCGCCAGATTTAGATCTGAAAATGAGGGGAACAGGAGGGAGGAGAGTGAAAGGGAGAAATGACAGAGGAAAAAAGAGGTGTTGCTAGGGCTGCTGACCATCTATATTACGCATCAGTAGTCTTAATATGGCTTTTGTTTTGTACATTTCAGATTGTTCAGTACTCCCTGAGTGACATGACTCCAGTTTCATGTAATGTCCTTATTGTGTATAATCTTCTTGTTGAATTTGACCTTAAGCTTATGTGATTTATTTGACGGTGCTTGTGCGATTTTGATGTTTTGAGTTAGCGGGCTGCATTGTGACTTGTCGGCGTGTGTGTTTCTGTGTGTTGATGTTCCAGCTGAACTCTCCAATGAACTCTGTCAGCAGTACGGAGGACATAAAGCCTCCACTGGGCCTCAACGGCGTGATGAAGGTGCCTGCCCAGCCCTCGAGCACAGCTCTGTCACTCACCAAACACATCTGCGCCATCTGCGGTGACCGCTCCTCAGGTGAGTGACATCAGACTGTGATGACTGTCTGCAAAGGAAGCATGAAAATAATTCAATGTCAGAATTGACCTTGTCAGAAATCTTTTTGAGAACTGGTAATGGCTAAGGTTATTTTCACTGGAGATTACTGTTTTTAAAGGTAGGTGTGCGAAGGGGGAAAATCAAAACACAGGAACTGGAAACGTTCACAGAGCACATCTGTGCAGTGAACAGCAACACCAAGTTCACTTGGGAGGATGTCAGTGGAAATGGATGGGGCTTTTTGGACTACACATTTTAGAGAGAAGCTTCAAATTGGAGTATATGGGTTTATAAGAGCCCTACACCTCTGGGATAAGAAGGGGTTTACAAGAGTAGAGGGGAACAAGAACCAGAAACACACAAGAGAAGACCCTGAAATAGGTAGTTACTCAAAATGGGCCTTCTGATGTCTGCCCCCAACTGGGTGCAGTAACATCCAACTGGATGCAGTGATCGGAATGCCATTGTTCATCAACGGATTGATGAACAATGAATGTTGCATCTCTTGCATCTAAAATTTTTAACAGCTGCTTCAACAGTGTGCAGCAGACACAATGGAGTCACCTCTACACTACAGTATTTAAAATTCTGGGAAATTCCCACTAATCATTTAGAACTCCAAATGAGCGGTGAAACGTCTCCATGTAAGTCCATTTAGCACTGCTTAGCACTTAGGTGACTATTTGAACATGTTCACAAATCACTTCCCAATCAGAAATTTCTAAGAATTTTATGCAGTTTTCTAAAAGATTGTAGGGAGACTTGACATGGAATAGATTATTTAAAAAAAATCTAAACAGCTTAGACTGGATAACATTGCACTGTTTCCAATTAAAATAAAACAGGACTACACAGCATCTTGCCCAAGCCTGGGCTCTAACCACATGGAGAAACCTCCGGAGAAGATCCACACATGAACTTCGGTCAGAAAATGGCCCCACAGTATGCTCTGGCAGAACTACATACTGCAGCTTGTTGGAGTGGGAGAGCTTCCTGGAAAGACAACAGTCATCAGAATTCTTTAAAAATCTGGGCTAAATGACAGGGAAGCCAAAAAAGGCCACTCCTGGAAAAAAAAGCATGTGAGGGCAGCAACAGAAACGCACATGAAAGGAACCTAAATCATGTGGCAAAAGATCATCTTGATTGGATGAAACCTAACCTTGAATCGCTTTTTTACTGAAACAAGAAAGCGCTATGTCTGAAGGCGACCATGCGCAACTCATCATTCATCCCTACTGTGAAGCAGTCAGTACAATGAATAGTGGGACAAGTAGAGGCAGATTTTGGAGTTTCTTAATTTTCATTTCAACACAGTTAGAGTTCAGACACTGGCAAATTATATTCAGATAGAGATACAAGATATATTCTACAGTGTGTTCAGGAGAAACAATGTGGTTTTTGTCTTTATCGTGGAACCTCTTCGGGATATTCGAGTGTGCATGGGAGTTTGCCCAACCAGAGCCTGTTTAGTAGATTTTCAGGAGGAAGCACTGGGAAAGATCTGAAACTAGACAAATTACATTTCTCAGCTATCTTGGAAATGCCTTGGAGTCTCCCTAGAAGGGCAGAGACAGGGACCAGGAAGAAGGAGGCCTGGATGTCTCTCCTTAGACTCCTGGCCCCTTGACCCAAACATGGATAAGCAGTAATGGACGGATGGATGGACGGATGGGTGGGTGGGTGATCATTTAAGGCTATTTTTTGATTAGTTTCTGAAAGATGGTAACGATAACAATAAAGCAAAGTCAATATAACGTGTTACAAGAAAAGGCATAAAATTCCATTTAAGTCTGGCACCCTTAATATTTCTGTAATCTTTTTTTGTCCCAAATCAAACTTTCTCACGTAGCACTTTAGGTTGCACAATAAATAAAGATTGTAAATAACCTTTTTGGCTTCTCAAAGAACAATAGCTTGCTCCAGAGTTTTCTTAAACATTGGCTATCATTTGGCCAACTTCTAGCTTAACCACCTGAACCACAAGAACATTAACCCTGGGTGAACAGATAACCACGGGTTATCCCAGGAAATGACTCTCACAGCACTCATCTTTGTAGAGTTGTCTTAAATCTCTTTTTTTCCCACACTGCCAACAAATAACCATGTGTTTAATTTTTTTCTGGGGATAACCATGAAAAGTTTGTAGCCTCTGGATAAAGGTGGATATCTAATTCATTGGACAGTTTTACTGTCATCCTGCGTCATTGGTGCTGTGTGCACCCAAGGGGGAAAATCAAAACAATGTTTAATAGCAAGTCATGCTTCATTTAGCTGTGCTCGGGGGCTTTATTTATCTTCTCTGGTGGTCTGACCCAGCAGAGAGATAACAAAGAAACAGTTTGATCAACACTGGAGAAACCAAATGGACTCCATCCGTCATAAATAACAAAAAAGAGCTGTTAGAAACAGGGTCAGACAACACCATATTAGACTGCCCCCCCCTCACATATTCCCTTTAGTGAGCCTCTCTTTTCCTTCATTACCAAAGGGTTAGTAGAAGGGTCTGTGATCATAATTTTTGTTTTGTTCTTTCAAAGTGTTTCCTGGGTGTTTCTTTGTGTTATTGTAACCACAGAATGGTAAATAACATGTTCATGAAATCACAGTAAATTCCGCGAATGTGTTGTAGTTGGTAAGGTCATAGGTGTGTACTAATGAAGAAGCAGCAAAACGGCCAACTCAGCTAATTCCATGTGCACTGTGTCACCTTATGTTTCCAAAAAAAGGATCAAAAACTAACATTAAGCAAACAATCTCTTTTCCCTTTTCCTCAGGTAAACACTATGGAGTCTACAGCTGCGAGGGCTGCAAAGGTTTCTTCAAAAGGACTGTCCGCAAAGACCTGACCTACACCTGTCGTGACAACAAAGACTGTGTCATTGATAAACGCCAGAGGAACCGCTGTCAGTACTGTCGCTACCAGAAGTGTTTAGCCATGGGCATGAAGAGAGAAGGTACAGCACATACCGTTGAGGATAATGTCTCACTTTCCTATTTCCTTATCTTTATTAATCTTCCTTTTAAAAGGCTCAATTTTGGGGAAGTGAGTAGCCGAGGAGTACATTCAGAAGTCCATATGATATGTATTTTTGGCATTTCTGTGAGTAGAAATATACTGAATTTTGAGATTCCAGAATTTTGAGGTATTCTGAATTTGGTTTGCACTCAAACTGCTGGTGCGTTTGACACTGGTGCAGAAACAGTATCGGAGTCATTACTTGAAAAGAAAGTGCAGTACATAACTGTTGCATTATTCTATATATCAGTTTCACATTACTCATCAGTAATGTGTTAACAATATAACTTAAGCTACACCAAAACAAATCCCTATTCTAATAAGGACACACATACGATCTTTCTTTCAGTATTTATGTATGAACACAAAGCTGAAAAAACAAAGCAAAGTTGAAAAACAGCCCAAAGACACTTCAAAGCAATTGCCACAGCGATTCTACTTTAATTCTATAATGCACAGGCTGAAAAGGAAGCTGCAGCGCTGCAAGCGTGACTGCTCATCACTGCCTTTGTTACCTGTTGAAGTCTAGGGCCTGACTGCTGGGCTGGGGCCAGCACACATATCTGGGCTTTAGCTTTGCGTTAGCATGCTGGCTGTGCAGATTTTTGCAAAGAGCCGAAGTTATGTTAGTAGTACAAAGCTGTTGTTTGTTTCCTGGATGCAGTAATGTCCATCTTCCACTTCACCATTTTTCTGCTTCTAGCACGCAAACTGAAATGATCTGATTGTAGCACAAGTTCACAGGAAAAAAAGAAAGTTTGTTTGATGTTTTATGTTTCCGCCTTTCTATCTGCCTCCCATGTAGATAGCTGAAGAACTTTTAGTAACAACGTCATTTTAACTTTAATCTAATGATAGAATTTAGTACAAGAGCACGTTACATTACTATGTTACTGAAGAATGTGATTTCATTATATACATTACTTTGGAATGCATTACACCCAACACTGCACACAAATACTCATTTAAGCTACGACTTCATTAACGACAGAGCTTTCAAAATACCCTAGAAGTTGACATAAAATACTTTGACATATCAAATGTAATCCTTCCTTTTCTTTGCAAAGTTTCCACTTCTTATAGGCCAAAGAAAACAAAAAACAGAATACTTTGATAAACTTGGCAAGTGATGCAGAGCTGCAAAGACCAACTGTATCTCACCCAGCAAGCGATGTCAAGGGTAACTGACGTCATATGTTAGAGACGCATCAAATTTTTAGAAAACCCGGCATCTCAAATGAGAGAATTTTCTGCTTGCAGCATTAGTTTTTTAGAATGCATTCATCTGTTCAGTGCCATGAATCAAACATGGCTGTGCGTGGAAACCAAATGAGGGTTTGTGAGAGCAGGCAATCCACACGGAGACTTCAGCAATGTAGACTGAAGAAAAACATTCTCGGTTAAACTATGAAACTATGCGAGTTTATGTTTCCTGTATTTCCTGGAATCCTTTTTTGTCTTTTTCTCCTTCTAATGATTTTTGGAAATTTACATGTGGTGTGGGGAACAGCTTACCTAGTTATTGTAAGCCACCTCATTTTTCACACAGTGCAAAAGATGGATGCTGTACTTATGTTGCAAGATATGTGAAGTTTAATACTCCAACTGAGTACTCCAACTGGATGATGTCTTGTAATTGCACAGCACGATGAAAAATTTGCACCACATTCCTAAAGTTATAAGCTGCTGATGGTGTGCACATAATGCTGTCCTTTTGGAAGACATTCAAAGATTCGATCAGCCACATGGGACGAAATATAGGGCCTATTATTCGAACCCAGTTTAAGATCATTATTCAATTTCTACCATTATTCAGTCATTTTTCAGTGTTAATGTTATTTTAAAAGGAAACCATTACCTACACATAAATAGATATTTATTTTACTGGGACTGCAGACTTTGACCAGAGACTTTGAGCTTTAATTCAAAAGTTCAGAAGTTTTCTTTTACCTGTTTAGGAATTACACTTATTTTTTTCCATAGTCTCCCATTTTCAGAGGCTATTAACATGGACTGGGTCTGTGCAAATGCAAATCCCATCTTTCTTGAAAACAGAATCTTCAGCTCCATCTCCTTTTTTCTTCTAAATCAGACGTTGGTCTTTAAGACTAAAAGATTTAAACGTCTGCAGTCAATCTTTGTCGGGGTTACGGCATAACCGACGTAAGTAGCTAACGCCGTTGCCATCATTCATGCTTCATTTCCGTGGTGTTAATTGCCTTGTGGTCGAGCCCCAGTGCTTTATATGTGGTGCCAGCCACCATAGAAACAAATAAACTCACAAGACTTTTTTTCCCACCCTCTTGGGTGCCAATTCTTTGTTGTTGTTGATTTTTTTGAAGCAAACATGATTTTCCACTTCTTTGTACTTCCAATAATTTTGGCAATTTCCCTCCAGGGATTTGCTGACATCTGTGAGTTCTTATATAAGGCAGTGATTATTAATCTCTCTGATCCTTTCAATAATGACAGTAAAAACACTGACAGAAGTGCATAGAAGGACTCCATAGTACTGAACAGGTGAATCACAGTCACATGGTAGTTGTTGCTGTTATAGCACACAATGAAATGAAGACTATCAAGTTCTGAATTGGAGCAAGAAACAGATGTGCTGCGCATAGAGTTTCTAGCTATTTCTCATTTTTAACCCTCATCCCTTGTCGGGCTTTTAATATTCACATCACACAAACATAATTACAACACTTAATTATTCAATTTCACGTGACTATCTGGTGTCGTTGTGTTTGGATAATAATTACCTTTTACTTCCAAGTATTAAATAGAAAACCACCCCAAACAAATACATAATACAACTTAGAGAAACACTGACTCTTCAGTTCTCATTGAGATTCTGGGATTCGGTTGCACTTCAAACCAATGGATTTTTTGGCTGCAGGTTTTAACCTGACTTATCTTGACTTTGGGGTGAACCTGGGTACTCTGGGTTCAGCTTTATTGCCCGTAATCGTCCTTGTTCAAAGGAGAATCATTTTGATGATCCGTTTGTGTGCTACACTTTATTCCCTCTGTTTTACCAGTTCTCAACTTTGCCTTTTTTTGCATTTCTTTTTCAGAAATGGATTAATGGCACATCTTGAAACATGTGTCTGCTGCATACTGCCAAACCTCACCCATGCACTTGTTTTTATATCAAGTTCTCATGTCATCTTCAGCTTCTTCTTCTTTTTTTTAAATATGGCTATATTGGCTCAAAGGAGTTCAAGAAACCCAGCAACACAACGTGAACACTGAATTGACAGATAGCTTTTGTAATTCATTATGGAGCAGCACAGTAAAGCGTCTCCAGGGAAAGCTCACAGTGGGGTTGAAAGTGGTTCTGTCGTCTGAGGGGAGGAAAAACATTCTGTGAGGTGTGAATTTTAACACTCCATCTAGGTGTTAGAAATATTAGCCCTTTCAGCAGTGCTGTTAAGCACTCTTTTGCACGTTGAACAAGCCAGTTACTGCCTTTCTTCATCAAGGCAACCATGTTTACTGAAAAGAGTGCATAGATTACACTACTTGATGCTTGGAGATGGCTAAGAGATCTAAGGATGCAAAAACAGCAGCATGTGTTAACCAGGTGTCTGTGGGTGGTTACTGAAGAAAACACAGTTAATGAGGAGAATAGGTTTCTTCTTTTCATTGGTATGTTTTGGAGGATATTCTATCTAAGGCCATTTTTTCCTGACCTTTACTTGGCCTCCCATCTCCTCTCTCTTGTTTTTATTTATGTCATTGTTGGGCTCTTTATTCCTTTCAAGGATATTATCATTTACTGCCTTCTGCCTCACTTGCAATGCTGCCTAAGCCTCCCCATGCAGCCTGGGGGGCTGTGGTTGAGAACATGGCAACAGTAGCCCAAAAGGCTGAGCGAATCCACAGAAAAACAGGATTAAATGAATTTATGCTCTCCCAGTCAGGAGAGTAGAGGAGGAGGAGGGGAGAATAAAGCTAACATGATTTCAGCCCTCCTCACCTCTCCCTGACTCCAACACAAGTATTCTACCCTTGAGCTGACCTCCACTGCCAGACAGCAGTTCCTCTAAAGTGGGGCCCCTTTCCCTCTCCTCCTCTAACAACCCCTGCTTTCCTTTCCCCCCCACAACAAGACCACGGCCTCTCTGATTCGGGACTTGGAATAGAAACCAGAGTAAGGGAAACTCAAGAAGACAGATCTTCAGTCAGATCTGAAACCCCATTGTGTGCGATAGTGTGTGTGTGTGTGTGTGTGTGTGTGTGTGTGTGTGTGTGTGTGTGTGTGTGTGTGTGTGTGTGTGTGTGTGTGTGTGTGTGTGTGTGTGTGGCAGTGCAGCTCTCCAGGTGTGTGTATATAAACCTGCATGCTGACTTTAAATTTCCAACAGCCCTTTATCACAAAACACATTATGTCAAGAGCTTTTTATTAATCCATGGCTGGAAGAAAAACATGTAAAAAAAAAAAAGCCACAGTACTTTTTTCGGTGGTGTTTTGAATTAAGTGAATTACAGCCCTTTGAAAAGACGGAAAACACACAGACATGCGTCTTTTTCATTCTCACTTGAGGGTGGAGGTGCGGTTTCTCTTGCCTCGGCCGCAGTGAGTCTCTGTGTCTGCTCGGCACACAAACCATTTCCTGTGTCTGCTTGCCAAGCCAATCGGATGACAGAACCAGCACGGTTGCGTTTGAATGTGTTTTTAGACACGATAAAGTCTTCATTGATTTGTGCTGAGACTTTTTTTTTTTTTTTAGATGTTCTGGCTTCCATTCATGGTGTAACAGAGTGACAGGCCAAATGTTATTTATTTATCTAGAAATGATCTGTGTATGTCAGTGAGCACTGCGTAAAGAAGACTTATCTTTGATAAGGAAACTGGAAGATGTCCTTGGACATTTACATGCTGCTTTGTTGTACATAATGCAGACCCAAGGTCTTTCTGTTTTCCATCCTCACTGCTGAAGCAATTATTGATGATTAAACTCTCTCGGCTATGTTTTTGCTGGCATTGTACATTCGGAGTTATGAACTATTCAGTTGCTTACCAAGATGCACTTAATGTCGAACACTAAATTACAGACTCAGGCAAGCACGAGCAGCCATGAACAAGCACCAGATATGTATTTAGTTCACTACCGATGTAGAGCCGAGTGTGGACAATTATTCCACACTCACAAACGCAGCAAGAATTCAAGTAATTAATCAAAGGGGAAGATTCAGCACTGAAAACAGACTCAGGCTAGATGTTTGTTCACTAGTTGCAGGACTTGCAGTGCACAGTTTATTTATCACATTGAACCAAACTGTGAATGTGAACCAAAACAGCTGCTAAGCTTCACAGTCACAACCCTATTAGCTTGCATTTTTCTTTCTTTCAAAGTGTGTTTTTGATCACATACTGACCTTGTAAAACAGCAGTAGTGACCGAAACCAGTTTTGTTACATGCAGCCGTTCAGGAGGAGCGCCAGCGAGCCAAGGAGAAAAATGAGAATGAGGTAGAGTCTACCAGCTGCGCCAACGAGGACATGCCCGTGGAGAAGATCCTGGAAGCCGAGGAAGCAGTAGAACCTAAAACCGAGACCTACATCGAGACCAACCTCGGTGTGCCATCAAACTCGGTGAGTTTTTTTGTGTAATGCAGATTCAGATTATATGATTTTTATGTTTATATTTACACTCATAGGAGCACACACAGTGATTTATCTAGACTTACTTTGGATGGTGGGTCAGTTTTTCCACCTATTTAGTTCCCTCCATTTGATACCGTGGTTACTGCTTTGAGTTCTTTTCTCGTTCTCAGTATTTTACTCACTTGACAGGATGATTATCTGTCAACTGTTTCATCTTGGCTGGCTTCACAGCTTCAGTCACGATCACCTGAAGACATTCAGTATTCCAATGGTGTTCTCAAGAAAACCAAACTCATCCAACTCATTCAAATGTCCAGACTGAATAATCTCTCAGTTTAACTGGTTTGGGTTCATCGCAACTTGAGGATGTGAACTTATTCAAATATTTCTCCTTCCTCACCGATTAAACCTTTATCATGCTTTCCATGTCTGTGAGTCTGCTCGGTTCCACTTGTGTCCAAGTGCCAGAAATTTGATCATCGGACGTGACCGTGAGGGTCCGTACGGACATCCGAGTGCCCGTCTATTTTTTGTGACCTGATGGACTTTTCTGCAGAGAATTTAGTTTACAGCTATGCATGTGCTCCAGTCGGTGGACTTCAAAGAAATATAACAAATATAACTACCGTACTCTACCGTTTCCAGCTATCTGCGTCCATGCCAGCAATGGAATATAATCAACGCATTATCCAAACTAAGCAGTAGCAGGAGGAAGGGTTTGTTGCAGTCTGGCTAAAGTGAGTGAGTTCATGAAAGATTGATGTGTCACAATCATATCAGAGTTTCTCTTGGTCCAAAGCCAACTTGTGTGTGTTAATGGACACCATAGGCTTGTTTTCTTTGAATAAGCGAGACCCATCCAGTCGTGCACTGTTTAATGATATAATACATTTTTCTAATTCATTTAAGTTAAAATAACTGGCAATTTTTATTGAAATTGTCACTTTAAGAATAACAATACTGTGAATGCTTTTCAGCATTCACACTAATTAGTGATATGCACCATTGTTATACCGGTGGTACTAGTCATACTTAACTATTAATTTCTGATTAGCTGGAAATTAGTTGTCAATAAAAATGCCTTAGCATTAAGCACAGGTTGATTCATTTCTAGATCTCCTCTACTGTTTAAATTATTGTCAAAATGTCTTTTTTATTGCATTTATTGCTTAACACTATTGTTTTCAACATCTTGACTGGAAGCTTGAAAAACACAACATCTGTGTTCTGACTTCTTTCTTTCTTTTGTCATTTTCTTAAATGTGAAAGCTTCCCAACAGCTTTCACTTAGGAGCTCCTAGGTATTGGACAGTAAATACAATGAATCTCAGTTAAAAGGCAACTTAAAATCTCTGCATATGCATGCTAAATACTAAATGTAGTGGTTTGCAGTTAGTATAAAAGAGCTGTTCACTTTTAGATTTATGGCTTATGAGTTATATTTTAGAAATTTATGCTTCAAAAGACTCACTGGAGCTGCTCCACCATTGTCCACAAGTTGTTTTAATTCTTTCCATGTGTGAGTGCTTCATGTATTTCAGTTCTGCAGTGAAGAGTGCCAAACATATAAGTCAAGTCAGATTTGCCTGCATGTGGATATGCTTGCTGTAGTAATGTTTCACATCAACCATGTTTCAGATAAATTACACATTTTAGTTCCCTGTTTTTTAAAGCTTGCGGCTGTTTTTCTCATCTACCTGCTGCCTGATGGTAGACATGTTACTGAATATCAAATATAAATACCTTTGTTATCTCCTTCGGGGCTTTTTAGGTTACCACTTGTGGACTCAGGAACTAGCTTACCTGGTCTATTAGCTCCTTCACTCAGCTGTGTGTTTCCTCATATATGCCCCTTAGTATCAGCTGGGCACTGTGGGCTGTCTTTGACACAGTGGCGACTAGGAGTGATGAATAATGCAACAGGCAGACTGTTCCTGAAAGCATACCACAAAGCCTCAGCTTTCTCAGGAATTCTGCTGGGAAACATGGGAAACAGAGGAGCTGTGCAGAAGCCTACCAAAGGAGGCGGGGAGGGGGGAGAGATGGGAGAGTGAGACTGAATGAGGGAGGGAGAGAGAGGGGACTTCTTCTGGGATTCATCTGCTTCGGGGGAAGGAAATGTCTTGTGAAGTAAAGGTAGAAATGTGAAGGCTGTTATGTGAGTAAATGGGAGCTATTTTCGGGGGGCCAGATGGAAATGTAGGAGATCAGCGTTGGCATTATAGGGAGAGGAAGGAGGAGTAGGGATTCATGGGGGAGCGGCTAGCAGCTCAGACATACTAATGCACTGTTTGGGCTCTGCCACGCTGGGTCTCTCGATGCCCGCTGCCTGCCCAACACCAAGAGGAAGATTTCTAAGGGCCTCCACAACAGATTAGAAAACCGCAATGAAAGTGTTTAAAGGCTTGTTTTAAATGTATTCTTTGCCAACTCCTGAGCAAAATCATATTGGAAATCATATGAATATGCTGAAAATAGTTTTAAAAATTAAATGTAATGCATTACACCGATGAATGTATCAAAGGCAATTTGGGATTCAGTATTCTGCCCGAGGACACTTTGGTCATGTGAAGTGAAGGAGCTGGAGATCAAACCACTAACCTTTTTATTGGTAGTCACCTTCCTTTACCTTCTAAGCTACAAACAGATATCTGCCTGTTAAATACACAAATATTCAGGGTCATCAAGGGTCAAGAGCTTTTTGGTTTCTTTTTGTTGTCTGTTTGTAGCCAAAGTTTAATCGATGCATGGAAATAAATAAAATAAATGTCTGCATTGAAAGCAAGACAGAGGAAAGGTATTTATCGAAATATAATCTCACGAATATTAGCTATTGTTAGAGATTTAAATATTTATCAACTGAATCTTCTCTCATGAGCAGTGAGTAGCTAATGGAATAGAGAGTCCAATATCCTCACGCTGGAAGCCGTGAAAAATCCCCACTGCCCCCAGAGGCAAAGTCATCATACTAGTCAATGGGCTTAGCAAAAAGATAAAGTGTAACAGAGTCTAACAAGGCTAAACACTGTTGCCAGAAGAATAAACAGAAGTTGTTCTTTAATTATCTTCAACCATAAAAAATCTTTCATAATGTTAGCTGTGTTTGCACTTAATGTTACCAAGCTACTGTAAGATATATGTGAATATATATATAAAAGTGGTACAGGGCTTCTTCATGATGATGAAAGCAGCGGAAAACCTCACAAAGGTGAACTGGATTCCAGGCTATTGGTAGGAGATGCCCAGCAACAATTGGTGTCACTCAGTTTGTCCACCAACCAAGTATTGGTAGCCTGGGCTGTGGTGGGCATTTAAAATTCTTAGCCACTACTGTATATAAACCCTAAACCAGGACATTAAGTATAGCTGGATATGACGAGGAATAAAAAATGAAATGTAATTTTGTTTTTTGATTTGAGTGAGCGGATCCTTTAATTGAAGTGAAGCCTGCAATGTTGGCAGAGGCTTGGCATGCATTCTGTCCTGACCACAAGGACTCCTCTGCTATCCAAATGCTGTTCCCCTGCCTCCCCCCTACCAGGTCTCCATTGAGAACCAGTGCTCCATGTTGTAATTAATCACATGACCTGGGTCATGAGTGTACACCATGAATAGGCCACCGCCACTGTCTAATGGTCGGGGTCTGGCCAAGCTGAATAAGGTGTGTTTATCTCATGCTGACCTAGAACAGGAGTTAAACAGTCGTTAGTAATATGCCTTTAGTCAGTGAGAGAGAGGTCTTCTTCTAAGTAGGAAGGGCAGAGGGGAAAATGTTATCATTCACTAATCCTTAGGGTTTACTTCCATTTTATACATCCCATTTTCTTTCTTTTTTGTGTTATTTCTTGCTGTTATTTCTACTATATTTGAATTACTTTATGGAGAATTTTAATAAAAGGTCTTATCTTTCTGTTAACTGTAATTATGACATATGAAGAAAGGCTTTTTTTGTTGTTTTTTTTTTTTTTTTTTTAAATCTAAAAAGTGGGACACTTGAGTAATTCATTTTTATCCTGATCTGTGTGAGTACCCAATTTTCTCTCTGTTGTCACTCTAGTACAGTGTGGTTCAAGCACAATAATGAAAGACTGAAGAGCAAATCTTTTGTCTCCCCATGAAAATTTCATAGGGAAGAATGCAAGTTGCTAATCGACCGCAGCAGTGGAAGGGTGTCTTGCTAGAAACACTTTGATTTGCCTGGATTGCAGACAGTTTTGTTTGTGGCAGACGTATAAAAAAAATGCCTAAATAAGCTACCCCCCCCAAAAAAAAACAAAACAAAAACAAAACCCAAAACAAAAAAACAGTAAATGTCCGTTTATGACCTTACTCTCTGTGTCAGGTGGGTTTTTTGGTGTTCTTGCTGTTTTTCCTCCACATTTTTTGCCACTAATCTCCAAATTAAAAGAAAAAGTAGTCTTTCTACCTAACCTGTGAGATTTTTTTTTTTTATAACTGTAGAGGTTATCCTTTCATGGGTCAGGGGCTGATAACATCCTAAAGTCCACTCTTTGGCTTGAACAGTAAGTACAGTAGATGTAATGCTGTACTTAGATGAATTGTTTGAGGAAGTTGTAAGCCCCTCTCCTCGTCATCTTCACAGACGGTGACAAAGAAACCAGGTCAGTCTAAACACAGCTAAGATAGCCATGCAACATTCATAAGGTTTGCCATGTTTAACGAGAACCCTGGGACTTGTATTCTTACGGGGAGCGGTGGCTCAATTGTGGCGCACGCTGAAGCCCCCTGTGGTTTTTATTTGTTTTTTGGCGGGCTGTGCCCTTTGGAATGAATTAACCGGATCTGTTTATGTTTTGGGGAGGAAGCGCAGTTCACGAAAACTGTCGTACTGAGCTGCGGCGTCCACATCTCCCACGGAGATCAGATGCTGAAATATTCATAAGGTGCCTGTTTTCTTTCTCTCCCTGAAGAAAAAAAAACAAGATGACTTACAGTTTTCAAAACAGTGTAGGCTTTGTGTCTGGTTTAAGTTTTTCAGATTTGAGCTGCGTATTTGTGATGCTCTGCAGTCAGTGTGTTAGTTTCACACCGCAGGGAGGGAATGTAGTGGAGAGGATGGGATAGTCTTTCCCCTGTGTTTTATAAAAGGAGAATGTGAGTGAAGAGATATTTTCTCCTTCATCTTGAGCTAATCTCCTCTGGAGAGCTGCAGTTGATGTCAGGATCCTCCTAGCTTTTAGCATCGATCTGTGGGATTTGGAGGAGAAGTTGGGGAGAAGTTGCTAACTGTTTTTGTCAGAGGGCGAGTTCATGTGGAGCTACTTAGAATTTAGGGATGCTGACTTGATTTAAAATTATGCACAAAAGCATGTTCACAAAGCCTTTGTTTACACACACGCATATCAAGAGTAGCATGTGTACTCTTGGGATGGCTGTGAATTACTTGTCAGAGAATGGCAGTATTGTTGTGGATTTTTTTAACCCAAAGCCCAGATGGAGTTACAGTTTACTGAGTTAGTCATGGAGCATGTATGCATTGCATTAGTATTCTACCGCTACTCCCCAAGGGTCAAAGAACAATACTTTTGAATCAAATGTGACAGGACAGTTAAGGAGAACAAGTCCTTGTCTTTGCAATTTTGCATTCATTGCATGCAGAAGTTGTCTTCTTCTATAAAGAACACACTTATCATTAGATATACATTAGCAGATAAGGATCAAATCTGGCTTTGTTTTCACCTCAACTTCAGTTTGTATGTTAAAAAAAAAAGCTCTAAATAAAAGACATGCATTTATTTAGGCTCATACCATTATTTTGTTGACTAAAGCTAAAAAGGTGCACACATTCTTTTCCCTTTCATTTTTTTGGTGAGCGGGAAACGTTTGTTTTCAGGAATTACATTTTGTATGCTGCGTTGTCTATCAATGGACAAGTTTTTTTTGCTCTTGGTGCAGCTATGACAACTTCTATAAAAGCAATTTTGGCAGTTTGCCGGTCTGGAGCTTTCAGGTGCGTGTTAACACAATACCACAGTCTTCCCAGTGGGGAGCAGACGTCCCAGCAAAATCACCCCAAGGGCAGATGATGCACTGCACAAAGATCTCAGACAGGCCTCAGTTAGCGTGCTAAATGTTGAAGTTCATAACAAAAGACCGAACAAGTATGGCCTCTTCACTCTTCAAAGAACATGACAGAATGGCTTAGGTCCGTGAGGTTGCAACTGAACAAACCTCGAGATGAAAACCCCAAGCAATGCCATTTGGACAGAGTGTTTGGCCATAATGCACGGCATCACATTTGGTGAAAACCAAACACAACACCTCATACCAACTGTCAAGAAAAGAAGTGGAGGCATGATGATTTGACCTGGGGACCTTTCTGTCCTTGGGTCAACGATGAACTCACGATGAAATGTGAGGCCATTTGTCTGACTGCTAGAGCTTCCGGTTATGTGACCAAAATTTGGTCGTATATAACTGGCCAGCAACAAGACCACAACAGATTGGCTGAAAAAAAATATTTCAATTGTTGCATTGGCCCACAAATCTGTGGAAATATCAACTCAACTGAAATATTGTGGTGGGACCTAAAGAGAGCTGTGCATAAACAAATGCTCTTAATGAACTGCAGCAACGTAGTGAAGAAAGGCAAGGCAAGGCAAGTTTATTTGTATAGCACAATTCAACAACAAGGTGATTCAAAGTGCTTTACAGAGACATTAGAAACAAGAACAAATAAAAAGCATGATTTAAAATTGATTAAAACAAGCAAATAAACTAACTAACTAACTAGAACAGTAGATAAAATCAGTAGTTAAATGTAAGTTTTGAAATTTAAGCTTAAAGTGTGGATTTGGTGCTTTATTCAAATGCAACTGAGAACAGGTGAGTCTTCAACCTGGATTTAAATAAACTGAGTGTTTCAGCTGATCTGAGGCTTTCTGGGAGTTTGTTCCAGATATAAGGAGCATAAAAGCTGAATGCAGCTTCTCCGTGTCTGGTTCTGACTCTGGGAACTGATAAAAGACCGGATCCAGATGACCTGAGGGATCTGGATGGTTCATACTGGGTCAGGAGGTCACTGATGTATATTGGTCCTAAACCATTCAGAGCTTTATAGGCCAGCATCAGAACTTTAAAGTCTATCCTCTGACGGACAGGCAGCCAGTGTAAAGACCTCAGAGCTGGACTGATGTGGTCCACTTTTTTGGTCTTAGTGAGGACTCGAGCAGCAGAGTTCTGAATGAGCTGTAGTTGTCTAACTGATTTTTTTAGGTAGACCTGTAAAGATGCTGTTACAGTAATCAAGCCTACTAAAGATGAATGCATGGACTAGTTTTTCCAGGTCCTGTTGAGACATCAGATCTTTTATCCTTGATATATTCTTGAGGTGATAGTAAGCTGACTTTGTTATTGTCTTAATGTGTTTTTCTAAGTTTAGGTCTGCATCCATCACTACACCCAAATTTCTCGCCTGGTTTGTGGTTTTTAGATGTATAGATTGAAGTTCTCTGGTGACCTGTAATCGTTTTTCTTTGGCACCAAAGACTATTACCTCAGTTTTGTTTTTGTTTAGCTGGAGAAAATTGTGGCACAACCAGTCATTGATTTCCTCAATGCATTTACCAAGAGCCTGTACAGGGCCTCGGTCTCCTGGTGACATTGTGATATATATTTGTGTGTCATCTGCATAGCTGTGGTAGTTTATTTTGTTGTTGTTTATAATCTGTGCCAGTGGGAGCATGTAGATGTTAAACAGAAGGGGTCCCAAGATGGAACCTTGGGGAACTCCACATGTGATACTTGTCTGCTCAGATGTGAAGTTACCTATTGATAAAAAGTATTTCCTGTTTTCTACGTATGTTTTGAACCAGTTTAGTACAGTTCCTGAAAGACCTGTCCAGTTCCCCAGTCGTTTGAGTAATATGTTGTGGTCAACTGTATCAAATGCTGCACTGAGATCCAGTAAAACTAAGACTGACATTTTTCCACTGTCTGTGTTCAGACATATGTCATTGAACACTTTGGTCAGAGCGGTTTCAGTGCTGTGATTCTGTCTAAAACCTGACTGGAAGGCATCGTAGCAATTATTCTGTTTTAAGAAGTAACTGAGCTGTTGAGAAACTGCTTTTTCAATGATCTTACTTAAAAACGGGAGATTTGAAAGGACCCAAATTCATCCACGATGATGTTGAGAGGTGTTACTTGAAGTCATTTCTGCCAAATGTGGTTATCAGCATAATTACACAATCATTATTAGAAGCACTACTGTGAGCACATTGGTTTACCTTTTTACAAAGCCGTTCCTGGTGCTGTGATAAAGTCCTCTTTGAGCTCCTAACCACTTGCTCTGTAGTAAAGTGTCAGTGGAGCCTCTCAAGGGCCTCTTGAGCTCTACTAGCTGTCAGAGAGGCTGATTTGTGTTTTGGCTAAAAGGTCCCCAAAGAAAGAGTCAGCTCAGCGAAAGTTGTTTTTTCACTGACAGCTCTCTGCAGGTATTTCCTCCACAAGCTGAGACAGAATCACTGTTTGTTTTTTCACCGTACCTCTTTAGAAGATATTATTCACGGCGGGCACTCATGTTGGTGTCAGTGTGTGTGTGATTACGTAGTTATAGGTACTGTGCCATGAAAAAAGCCCCTTACTGATTTCTTATTTTTTTTGCACTTTTGTCACAGTTACATGTTTCAGATCATAACACAAATTTTAATATTAGACAAAGATATACTGAGTAAATACAAATGGAGTTTTAAAATCAATATTTTAAATTTACTAACCCTTTAAAACCTGAACCATGAAATAACTGCCAGAAATCTATAGAAAATCTCTCTACATAAATATATATAAAAAAATATTTGATATATCAAATTTTAATCTGCATATGTATGAGTTTTAATTTGTATTACATTTGCTACATTAGCCATATTTTTGCAATTTAGTCATTAAAAATGTGTTAAAAAATGTGTTATGCCAATTATATTTTATAGGGTTAAAAAAGTCACGCTGATGATATAGAAGTCTCAAAAACTCACAAAAACACATGCATCAAATACGATACGCTTGGCTTTAAAAGGTTAAGGAAATCGAAACCTTCCTTGCACCATGTGAAAAAGTAATTGCCCCCTAACCCTAATACCTGGTTGTACCACCATTGGTAGCAAGTGTGAGAAATATGCAAAAGAACTAAAAAATCAGGAAGGGTGGGGAAATACGTTGTCATAGCACTGTAGCTCAATTATGCCCTAGCACAAGGCTCTCAGCCAAAAGACACAAAGCTGTAGCTTGCCTCCACCAGTGTATGAATGTGAGAGTGAATGAATAGTGGTATTGTAAAGCGCTTTGGGTGCCTTGAAAAGCGCTATATAAATCCAATCCATTATTATTATTATTATTATTAAGCTAACATTTCAATCTTATTTAATTCACACTGTAGTTGATTTTCTGACTTATTTTAACCTGTTCTATCTTTGTCTCTCGTCCCCTGCAGCCCAACGACCCAGTGACAAATATCTGTCAAGCAGCTGACAAACAACTTTTTACCCTGGTTGAGTGGGCTAAAAGAATCCCCCACTTCTCTGAGCTGCCGCTGGACGACCAGGTCATCCTTCTACGAGCAGGTCTGTCGAGCTGACTTAAGTATTTTGCATGATCTAACCAGCAAACAATTTGCAGTGATTGGCAGTGATGATATATAATTAACAGGATATGGGTTGGAATCAATGGTCATTGTTATATGAATAAATTGAATCAAATTTGCTGGTTCAACAAACCACTGATTACTCAGTGTAAGATGTATTGTATTATGCCCACTGACTGTGTATTAAAAAGGCAAGTAATTGCTGCTGTTTAAAATAACAAGGATTAAACAAAAATAAAAATAAAAATAACAGAATCACAGGACATTGTTTTCATTGTTAAATAAGTCACATTTGTAGATACAACAGATGCCCATGAACATTAATAATATAGTCAGAAAAAAAGAGAACACTGGATACCTCTCGGTCATGTGACTGATGCAAGAGACAGACCCAGAGTCTCTTCATGCATCTGCTGTATGAGGAAAAGCAAGCATCACAGAAGCAGCGATGTAAAACGGAGAGTGAATCATCTGTCACTTCTGCTACAGTCACTAACGTCACATGCAGGAAGGTCTTTTGGGTTCTCCCAACACATTGCCCTTGTTGCTTGCTTGTCACTCTAAATTACACCATTATTTTCTAAATCCTCCTCCAGGAAAAAAAAATGCTATAACGCACCCATCCCTTACCCTAAAAAAACAAATAAAATAAATAAATCCTCCCATCATTCTTATCCTTTGCACATATAAAAAGATGGAAAGACTTCAGCAAAGCGGGGAGAGAGACATTATTCGGCAACGCTCGTCTCTGCTCAGGTTTTCTATAAATAACCGCTTTAGTTCTGCTGTATCACAGATAAAAGCATCCCGGCTCCGCTCATACCCAACTCAACTCTGGGGAGAAGAGGCGGGTGTTGCCAGGCAGAACAGTTAAAGGAGCCCTGTCACTCAAACGGCAGCGTCTTGTGTCTTCGGCGCTCCGTGTCGAGCCCCCTGCTTTGGCGCATCAAGCCTGTTGTCTTTATTGCGATGGCAGGCGCAGTTCATCCCGTTTACACGCTTGTCTCTTTAGAAAGCATGATTCAAATGTCTTAGTAATAACCTGATGCCTGTGCTTGAGAAAGCTGCATGCTTTTAGTGCGCAGCTTAATTGATTCATTGGAATTCCCTCCTTTGTTGTCAGTTTCATTTTGCTCGAATGCTGTGTGAACTTTTGTACTGGGGATTTCGGAGAGTGTGAGTGGTTTTATTTCTCATACTTTTTTCTCAGTCCCTCTCCTCATCTCTTTCTCAGGTTGGAACGAGCTCCTCATTGCATCATTTTCGCACCGCTCGATAGCGGTTAAAGACGGGATTCTGCTGGCAACGGGGCTGCACGTTCACCGCAACAGTGCCCACAGTGCCGGAGTGGGAGCCATCTTTGACAGGTTACTAAATTTTCTTGGACTTAGTGACGTCTAAATTCATGTAGAAACTGCACCAAAAACTTTTGTAAATAATATATTAGGTAGCACTTTCTAAAGGTGTGCTCGAGTAGCATGTAATGCAACCTGAAAGTAGTGCTTTGATAATATTGTGATTTATAAAGGTGGCCTATTTTTTAAGTTAATAAAAGTTAAAGAGTTAGAAAAGTATTAGTCTTACCGATACTCATATTTAGTATCAGCCGATATTTTGTTTAACATCAAGGGACACAAAACATTTGTTAAGTGTATTTATTTATTTATAAGTCCTTACTAAGATGTTGTAGAAATTTAAAAATAAACTTGTTTCATTGTTGCAAAAACATTTGGATTAGTCCTTTATTCTCTGCCTAACTTTTGTCAGATCAGCTGATTTGGCGGTCTAAACACATTGCATTAGAGAAGTTGTAGAGGGCCCCCTGGTGGACAAACTATGCAGCATCAATCTCGTAACATGGTTAAAGTTAGTTCTCCTGTTTCTTCATATATTTTAAATTTTTTATTTATCGGCTGTTTAAAAATACTGATATCAATATAATGGCAAATGAGTAATATCAGCCAATAATATCGGCTCATCGGTGTATCAGTCTCTCTCCTGATAACACATTAGCATTAGAAACTCAGACTAAAACTCAGAGCAAAGTCTTTGTCAGCTGTGAAATCCCATGAGGTTTTGATACAGCACAAATATTGCCAATGTGGAATAATAACTGTAACAATTCCAGTGTGTCTTTGTGAGCTGGATGTACACGCTGTTGTGTCGTACAGGCTCCCTTTAATTGGCACTTGGGCAATTTACATCTGTAGTTGTTTTTCTTGGCCTTAATTCATTAATTATACTGCATTTTGTGGCATATTTTCAGTTGCATCTGCAATGCAAAGCAGCACTCTTTCACAGCATTCTTCCATTATGATTTGTTCTTAACATCACTTCCCCCAAAATCCAAACAACGGATGTTGATCCAATTCAAGAGACAAGCTCCTTGCGTTCTGCTGTGCCAGACATTGGATTTTTGTTGTATATTTGTCTTTTAGTCCAACTTCAAGCTTTGTGCTGCAGGGACCAGCTGTGATAGGCAAACACAGACACATGATCAAGTGCTGATTTAGAGAGTGCCTAAATTGCTTTTGCTTTGCGTTTTATATTGGCAGAGTATTCATTTTAAATGTCATAATTGTGGGAAGACAAAATTCTGATCGAGATTAAAATTCTATTAAATGTCCACCCCTTGTAGAATATTTCATGTAACATTGAATTGAAACAATGAAATGTTACACAAAATGGGGAATGCCAAGCAGCACAGGCACAATTGATTGACTCCAATATATAAAATATTTACGCCTGTACACAACAGGGGTCACACAGAACCTCTCATATCTTATATAGACAATCCATGCACCATAGAGTCACTCTCTTCCCCCCCCTTCTCACCGTCTCTTCTCCCCTTTGGTTTTCTTTCTTTCTCTCCCCCTCTTTCTCTCATTCATTCCCCCTGTCCTATTTATTAAAAAAAAAAAAAAAAAAAAAAAAAAAAAATGACAAAGGATGAACTGAAGCTCTGCCATCACGTAATGTCGCATACTGCTGTTTCTGATGTCATTTAAGAAAAAAAAAAAAAAAAAAAAAAAAAAGAGTCACAGCGCAGCTGGATGCAGGAACCACCCTTATGAAAGTTTGTCAAACGTATAAGAAAAATATATCTTACATTTTGTTTGTATTGGTTTGGGATTTTTTGTAAATATATATTTTTTAAACTACGTTACTCTTGAACAGTTCTGGTCATGGATTGTTATTATATTTTGAAAATTAAAAACTGCAAATGAAGCTCATGTTTCCTTGCACAGTTTTGGAGCCAGCAGAGAATTTGCAGCTGCACGTGCTGTCATCAGACTCAGTCAAGCCACAGTCAAACTTTGAGTACTTTCTTTGTGTCTCCCTTCTTGCGCCTCTGATCAGCAGCCTGTGCGCTCAGTCATCAGCGTTCACAGCCACAGGACATATTCCATCTCTTTATTAACTGTGGCAAGCATTAAGATGCAGAGAACTGATAATGTTTCTTTATCTGGTCCACTGTCTCTTCTCCATACAAATGAAGAGACTGATCAACTTAAACGCTTGAGTCCCTTTCCTCTCTCTCTCCCTCTCTGTCTTTTTTTAAGCTCTGTTGTTCCTCCTTAGAGCAAATTGAATTAGAATGAGCTAAGAGCCACAATTGACTTTACTATCTGGGCGCGAGGAGCAGAAAGAAATGGAGTGAGAGGGAAAATAAAGAGTGCCAGGGAGAGGGTGTGACCGAGTCAACGTGGGGTGAGGAGTTCGAGCGACTCCACACGCCACCACTCCCACCCGTGATGTCACACACAGACAGTGGGAGCACTGGTGTTAGATTACAGCTTGTGTTTACTCTGCGGCTTTCGTTTTATGAAAACCATGTACTAAATATAATTACTTTGCAGGGCTGTAAACTTTTCCACTGATCTAACTGTGCCAGTGTGGGCCCAGAGTAAGCTTGTGTGCATGTTTTTTCAAATAGAGGCAAACTTGAAAGTGGTTAAAACCGTATTTGCAATGCACCAGTCAAGAATAATGTGTCATTTGCAAAAAAAAAAAAAAAAATCCAGTTAAGTGTGATCTTTAATTTTCTGCCACTGGTTTAGTTTCATTTTACACAAATATTGCCTATTAGCCAAGAATTAAATATTCTTGACATAGTATTTTAACCTGAGTAGCATCTCTGACTGTCTCCTGTTGCTTTTGTGCAGAGTGCTGACAGAGCTGGTGTCAAAGATGAGGGACATGCAGATGGATAAGACAGAACTGGGGTGCCTTCGAGCTATTGTCCTTTTCAACCCAGGTAACCATTGTGTATATTATATAAAAGCTTTCATTTGCTGTTTGTACAATGCAAACTCTTGTTTCTTTTTTCTCTTTTTTTTAGTTTCATCTTTCATTAAAAAAAAAAAAAAAAAAAAAAAAAAAAAAATATATATATATATATATATATATATATATATATATATATATTCAGTAATGTAAAATGACTAAAAATCTTTTAGAGAAATGGGTCATCAAACTACTGCGCTGTGTAATTCTTCCTTCGGAGTAATTGTTGTATACTGGCTTTTTTTTTTCTTTCTGAACATCAGCGTATTCCAGTGAAATGCAACTTTTATTAAAAGTATAAAGATCTTGTGCACTGTGGCGTGGTGCTGCTACTGTTTCTAGCTATAATCAGCCGACACTGACGTTGCAGGAATAGAATATGAGTCACTGAGGACTCGAAGCGTAACGCTTAGTCAACACAAACTCTTCAACTTTGATTATTAAACCTTATCCCACAGCAGGCTTAAAATAGAACATGACAAATGTGTCTTATTCTCATTGGCTCAGCTTTCATTTGGCTTTAATCAATTCCAGTGGGAACAACTTTTCACATTGGGGAAATGGTCTCAAAATGCTGCCAGACTTTTGTTAAAAGTAAATATAACGTATTTAGATTCAAGAACGCTGTTGCGTTGTGCATCACTTATGTCTCAGCTCTGGTATCTCAGCTTGTAATGGAAACTATCTCCTTGAGTTGACCTTGATTCTCTCAAGGCACCATTTTCACTTGAAATTGATGAATTCTCATTTATTTTGTAATTTGCCAACCTTGTGTAAATTTTACTACGTTCCCCCGCAAAGGTCCAAAGAAAGAGTGCGCTCTTTAATTGAGGCCCGTGTCTTGCCAAGGCACTTCTGCTATGAGTGTGCTGTTCTGTATTTAAACCTTATCCAAATGGAATCTAAGTGGACTGAACTAACCCATGAATGTGACCCAGGTTTTTAGTGACTCAGTAAGGGAGGCTCCCTGAATCTCTCTGGGGCTCTGCGGATCTGCTCACCCTGGACACACTGATCCTCTGTGTTTCACATTTTGTTCAGGCCATACCCAGACCCACTGGCCCCTGTTCACTTTTCCGCCTGATTCCTTGTTAATTAGGGGTTTGCAAGACTACACTGACTGGAGAAAAAACATACGGTGGTGGGGGTGGGGGTGAAGGGAACAGCAAGGCAAAAATGGCCCTCAGTCCTTTTCTTTCACACACTGTGTGATCTGGTCCAGCCATTAACAACCAGTGTACATTCATTGATTGTCAACTTCACAATGCTTTGTTCGTCAGAAATGTTAATCAAAGATGAGTCCAGTGAAGCTTAAATTGGTGCAGCTTGAGAATTGCGGTCTTAATTGGACTAGCCCAGAATGTGGAGATTCTTTTCCATATTGAGTTATGCTAGTTTTTCCACTGGGCAAAAGTGCAGATTTGAAAGCTTTTTCACGCCTACTTGTTTACTTCTTTGGGGGTTTTTTTCTTTTTATAGTGAAGAAGAATGTCCAGTTGTGTACAAATAACAGCAGCACAGCCTAGCCACGTGGTGTAGTGAATTCTTTTGTTCTTTCTGCCACTCTCCGCAGACTCTAAAGGTCTGTCCAACCCAGGCGAAGTAGAAGCTCTGAGAGAGAAAGTCTACGCGTCTTTAGAGGCCTACTGCAAACAGAAATACCCAGAGCAGCCTGGCAGGTAAGATCATAAACACCGAGCCCTTATTGTTACATTACCAGTTTGCAGTGCTGAGAAAATCAAGAGCACGAGTGTGTTTATTGTTGCAGCTGTTATTAATATTTAAAGTCTCAACCCAGACAGCCTCTCATGAGGTAGAAGTCAAAGAAAAAAGCTTGAAGTACATCCACACAAGAAACGTGTTTTATCAGTAGCTTTGAGTTCACCGTGTTATCAGTTTTGACATAGACTGTATATCAAAAATTGATGTTGTGAATTGGTATATGAATCATTGACAGAATTTGGATTTTTTTTAAACCAAATGTGACCGTATTAGTTGAGTTGATACAGTAGATGATGTTTTAACTTATAGTATAAGCTTGATTTATGTGATACTAATTCTTTGTGTTTTTTTAATGGGATGGCAATTTTGGTCATCAAAAACAAGGGGGGTATAGATATTTACTACATTTGGTTGCAAACATGTTGGGCATGTTATCATGAGGGTATATGGGGACTGGTTAGCTTTTGGAATCTGCCTCAAGTGGTTGTGTCAGGAATTGCAGTTTCTGGCACATCTGTGGCTTTTTCGTGGCTATTTTCAGCTTGAAAGTTTGCTGAAACACATCTACAGCTGCATAAAAAACTATTAAAATTATTATTGTGTGATAGTTTTGCACTGAAGTTTTGCCATTTGCTCAAAACAGGTTTTTCTTAGTCTTATATTTAATGTGAGGCCTGTGTGTGCAAGCATCACCAGTTCTCTTAAATCATAACTTGCAGCTGGATGGGTGAGCGCCTGCTTATGACAAAGTGCATATTTATGCCAAAACTAATGCCCCTGAAACTGCAAGCTTAGAAATACTTTAAAATTATTTCAGCTTTTCATCCTGTGCTAAATTCTTGTTTTGTGTTGTGACAGATTTGCTAAGCTGTTGCTGCGATTGCCTGCACTGCGCTCCATCGGTCTTAAGTGTCTAGAGCACCTGTTCTTCTTCAAGCTCATCGGCGACACGCCCATTGACACCTTCCTTATGGAGATGCTAGAAGCTCCACATCAAATGACATAATAGAGGTGAGGGGTTGAACCCTCTTTACCTCCACCCAACCCTCCTCATCAGCCTTGGATCAAGAGGGGGGCCTTTTTCCTTTTTTTTAAAAAAAATAAAAAAATAAAAAATCTCCAGCAAGGGACAAATCACAAGACAGCCTTGGATGGAGAACCTCCCCCTTCCTCCCTCTTTTTCTCCTCCTCCGTCCCTTCTACCCCCTCGCCTCGCTTAGATGTTTTCAAACAATGAATCCGTCACGCCCATGGGTCTGTTTTATACCTTGTAAAAAATATAAATACGAATAAGAAATATTATATATGAAAACCACGCAGCAAGACGAGTGACAACGGTGGACTGAAATGAGGACGGACAGAGGACAAAAGAAACATATTGAGCCATTGTTTTCATCATCACTTTTCCTACACCTTGACAAGAAAAAGCTGAGATGATCAGGTTTTAACACATAAAGACAGAATTGCTCTTGCATATATATATATATATATATATATATATATATATATATATATATATATATATATATATATATATATATATATGCACACATATATTGAACAGTAATGATGTCATAATTGGACACTCAACGTTGTGATCGGGACAATCGTGGGCTCTTGAGAGCCTTGGGCTGTTTAGACTTGGACCTGAGCCCTCACTGTCTTTCAGGACTGAACTTAATTAAGAGGGGCGGGCTGGTTCGGGGAAATAAGTCTGCTTAAAGGAACTTGTCTGTTCCTGCCTGACTCAACTAAGCACGTCAGGTCTTGCACTAGCTGTGTTCTTTTTTCAATGTGTGAGCTTTCTGGAGAATTCAGAGGTGGGTTAACAAGGTTGCAAGAGCTCAAAACCCTCAGGTCTCTGCCCAATTCCAACAAATACAACCATGTCTTACTCTAAACACTGTGCAACACTGGGGAGAATGTTGTGGTAGTCCACTTATCAACCCTTCAGTTCGCGTATTGCTCGACAGAGAGTTGGGAAAGTTTGTTATGTACAATCTACACACAGGACCATTCAGGCTGTTTTAAAGTACCCAACTGTAAGCTTTACAGCCCACTGGATGCTCTGAAAGGCTACCAGCACACGGAGGAACAACATATATTTTGGAAAGTAACATTTCCAACATTTGGCCTTCATCACGACAAGCTTGGACGCCTGGAAAGTTTGTGCACACTCACACTGTGGGTAAACGTCCTAGTTTTGCCAGCCTCTTAGCTCCTTATCGTCCATTCTCCACCCTCTCCACTTCGCGTTTCATGTGAATTCCAGCACACCATTTACACCTCCACACTCTGCTCAACACAGCGGGTATTAGCTTTTCAAAACACCTCATATCTACCTGTACAGAAACAGTATTGACGTTATTTTCAGTTTTCACTTTTAACAACCGCAATGCACAATTTACCTCTGCCTCCATCCTTCGGACCTTCAGTTCTTGATACCCATTTAGGATTAGACCATATACAGTATGTGAGAGATGTACTTGTTGCTGTTGCAGCAGGAGCCATTATTTGTTTGTTTGTTTGTTACTTGGCACTTAACCTCATGACCGTGGAGTCGGGTTTCTAAACAGAGAGCTGATGTCGATGTAATTGACCTCTGAGGTGGACTCTGGCCCCGACCCAATCAGGAACGCCACAATTGTTTAACACCTCAGAGGGACACACACACACACACTCGCTCTCTCTGCACTTCTCTGGACAACCAAGTGTCGTATAAGTTGAACTGAAATGTTAAATATCCATGTTTCTACATATATACATGTTGTGTATAAATATGCTTTATGCCCATATTCTGCTTCCCCCCTCCTCTGCTTTTCTGTAAATGCTGCAGCTGCTGCAAAACTATGCATCAATTGCATTTCCAAAGATTGTCCACAGATCTGAGATCTTTTAAAGAAATGTGTTTGTCAAATGTGGGTCCACTGCAAGTTTTTTACTGGCAGGAGAAAATAATACCAAGGGTTTTGTTGTTGTTGTTTTTTAAAGATATTTAGGGGTTATTTAGCTCTGGTTTACTCACATTTGATTGAAATTAACTCAAACTTGTATTTAACCAGGCAAGTTATTAAGAGAAAACTGCTCTTTACAGCGGTGGCCTGGCAAAAAGGCAAAGCCTCTCAAGTAAATGTGGCCACTATAAGTAAGGGCTAAAACAAATTCTGACATGGTAACCCTCGATGACAAAAATCTGCCCAGAAACAGAAGGACATATAAACACCAGCGAAAGTACTCAAACCTAAACTTTGTGATAGGTCACACTACAGCAGGTGTCACCAGGATTTCAAACAAACTCACCAAGTGTAAAAAACCAAATTTAAAAAAAAAGCACCAGCTTTGCTACTGCAGATAATAATAATACTTATGACGGTTAAAAAGATTTAAATAGGATTTTCTTTCTATATCTGCATCTTTGCTACTCTTTCATAAGCACCTTTACACTATCTGAACCTGGGAAACAAAAGAGAAAAAAAAGAAACCCGAGCACTGTGTTTTCATTACATTTTGATAAAAGTCAGATTTTTAATGGGGTCTGAGGAAATGTGTGGAGTCTTGAGAGTGTGCCCTTTGAAAATAATTTGCTTGATAGTAATGGATAAATGAAAATCTGAATTGCACTGAAAATGTAAGTAAATTAAGCGTATGAAATAAAATCCACGCTTAAAATGATAAAACAATTTTTTTTTAATCAGCTGGTGTTTCATGTATATTTCATCATATCCAGTCTCGCAGTTGGTTTATGAAAAATGAAACTCGTGGGAAGCAATCGGAGCTTAGTTTAGCTGTCAGCTACTGATGTTGAGTTTATTAGCACATTAATCAATTATAATCAAGTTTGAGGGTCATCAAGACTCCATAGATTTCTGACTCAGAAAAAAACAAACCAGTCTGTAAAATGTCCGTATGTCCGTTTTTCATCATTATTTGGTGCTAGTTTTATAATAAATAGCACGCGCTGGGAGAGAACTTGTAAATGTCATTCCACCTCTGTGAAACTGATCCCCCAGATGGCCAATGATCTCTTTTGTCTTACGATGAAAAAAATCAAAAAGTCAGTTCATACACGCTGGCTCTGAAATGTCAGATGCTATAGAGCTCAAGCACGACTGCAAGGTTTACTTTGGGTGAGGGAGAAGTTTGGGTAAGAGGAATGGGAGGGATGTAGTAGCAGTTTAAGAGCTGCGAGCTCCTTCTAGTGGAAGAGAAAGAGTGCTGCAACATAACTTGAATTTTTGTTGTCGTTGTTGTTGTTGTTTTTGTTGTTAACAAAAAGAAGGCACTTTCTAACCGCATTACTATCATCAATATTCCTTTGGCTCAGACAAAACCTCAGTATCTGTGCTTAGTAAAACTGAGTAAAGTAGCAATAACGTCAAAAAGACCAATTGGCTTTGTGTTTGATTCTTATTCTCTATTTTCATTGAGGTGGCCTGAATATTACAACCTATCCATGTGACAGTATTGACTGCCAGCTTGAGCTTACAGTATTTATATTATTGAAAAAAAAAAGATATATATATCTATATATACATACTTGTTTGTCTGTTAAATCAAAAACGTTCATACAATTTCAAAGGAAACTATTTTTAGAGGCTGATTTTCATCAAGAAAAGCAGATGATAAAACAATCCAATGCTCGTTTTCCAACCGGGTGACCCAAGTGTTAAAACGATTATTCTCCTGTTCTTTTGAGTCCGATGTCTCCTCCTACTGTGATTAGTGACAGCAGCTATCTTAAGCCATAAATCGATCTTGACAAGAAAGAAATGGACACCTGCAAAGAATGATTACCTACATTGAATGCTATATTTTGTTAATATGTATATGTGTATATATTTATAAATATATATATCGACAGCTCTATTCCTTAAGGATTTCCAACATTGAAAGGAGGAGACGAGTGATTCAGACCAAACGGTTTCACGGCAGGTGTTCTTCAAGCGTTTCATGGTGTTTGCCCCCCCCCCGAGTATTTGTTTGCATTTTGACCTTAATAAAAAAAAATCCTGATCAACCAGCAGAATTGCAGCAGTTAAACTCAAACCAGCTTCTCAGCAGTTTATGGGACCTTAGTAAACTATGAGAGAGAGGGAAAAATGGTTAAGATTTGAAACCCTCTGAAATGTATGTGTTGCTTAACAATTGTATGTTCAAAAAGAAAAAAAAGTAACCAGGACAAGCTGAACATGTGACACAATCACTGCTTTCTTTGTGGCATAAACAGTAAAATGTTGTAGTTTAAAAAAAACAACACTTGGTAAAAGCTCTATTTTTGTACAAAAGTAATTTTATCCCTTGCTTATGTACTCTGTTCTTTCCCTTCTCACTGTGGGCTGTTATGTACATTGTGGAAAAGCTTATTTGACGGCAAGAGATAATTTTCAGATTGAAAATGTAAGACAGGAGTAATAGTAAGCTTTGGCACTTTGGTAACTGTGTCGCTTTTACTTTGCCATGTTTTAACCTGTCGCTGCAAGATGGGAGTATCTTCTTTCATTATATTTTGTCTATTTTTAAGAAAATGGAATTTTGTCATCTGTTCTTCGTGGGTTGTTCTCTGATGTTCTTCGTTCATGGACAGGAAAAAAAAGGTTATTAAAAAATTTTAAGTGAGCGTTTCCAGTTGATTTGTGTTAGAAGGTGTACAGAAATGAAACTGTCAACGACTCGGGGTGAAACATACAAAAACTGTTTTTATTCAGATGTGAATTACAGCTGTCAGATGCGAACATATTTTACATAGAATCCAGGTTAACTACAGGAAAAGCAGCCTGCTGGCTTCATGTGCAGAACTATCAGCTAGTCAAGCAGAGAACAAAAACACAAAGACAGCTAAAGTAATCAAACTGCGACACGTGGCGTTGTTGTATGTACAAATACTGGAACACAACTGCATTTGGTCACTGTTGTGAATGGTCAAGTGTTAGTAAGTACTTCTTTTTTTTTTTTTTTAAAGGTCATTCAGGGTCATTTTGATTTTTGTAGCAAATCTTGAAGAATTTTAAACATTCTCAATGTTTGCACTTGTGTCAAATTCTGGTTTGTTGCCCTAAAAAAAAGTTTTTTAAAATATCTTGTTAGGGCATAAAGCACTCACTTAAGATCCGAAGTCCTTAAGTATTAAGTAGTTGTCCTCAGGTATACCGTCACCTCTTTTCTTTAAAGTCACTGATTGTAAATGGTACTATTGAGTTACACAAAGGCAGAAAATAAAATACCACGAAGGACCAAATAACCATTATATTCATTGTACAAGACTAGAATCGTGCTTGTGAAGACTGTTATGAGGCAGTGACATCGAGGTTAATGCAGTGTTTAAAAAAAAATAAAATACTGAAGCACCAGAATATTGCTGCAAAGTAAAACGAGGGAGAGGAAAAAAAACCAATCACAAATTTCCATAATGAGACATCGAAATCTGGCACATGCTTTGATGAGGGGATAACGTCCGCTGCAGAACTGTGTGTGGATGATGTGTCTGGTTTGGTTCTTCTGGCTGAATGTCATGACATTTCATGGAGTTTAATTTCATTCTTCCAATCCAGCAGGAGCTCTCTGTTAGAAAACAAAAGTCCTCCTGTCTTACAATAAAATGTAGGAAAATTATATATATATATAAAAAAAACAAAAGGAACACAAGTGGCCCAAAAGATCCAAAATGGCTTAGCAGTCGCTTTTCCATAGCTTGATGGTTTTGTCGTTTTCTAAAGCCGCAGATGCGATGATGTTCTCTGTGGGGTGGCAGGCAGTCGAAATGACAACATCTGAAAAAAGTACAGGAAGAAAATTTAAAGAATGACAAATTAAAAGAACAGACTGCACCAGAACACAATATTTAAAACACAGCTGCGCCTTCAAATATTTAATTAAATAAATGCAAAGTGATTCTAAAAGACAACTAACTCTGACTTTTAGTCCCCATACAAAAATGCTATTCTATCTGCGTTTTCAGTCACAGTGCATCTGCAGTACCTGTGTGGCCCTGGAGTTTCTGCACAATCTCCTTCGTCTGCAGGTTCCAGATATAAACCATGTTGTCTTCTGAGCCCGACACGATCCACTGCAAAAGAGCAGCGGCACTTAGGCTCAGAGTTATGTTTGCACACATAAGTGATTTCAAAAGGACCATTTTGTAATTTTAAAGTAACACTGAAACTCAAAGCACCAATAAAAACAAAATATAAACATTCATTTTCTCAAAGAAATGATCTTACCTTCCCGCCAGTGACAGAGAAATTTGCAAATATGCAGTACTTCTCATTTTTATGGCCCGTGTATGTCTTCAAGCACTGAAATGTTAGAAAAACAGAAGTTATTTGTATGTGTTATACAATCAAAAATGACAAAACTGTAAAATCTGCAGTTTTATTCATTACTAAACAAACATTTCACATCTTAAAGCAAAATAAAATGCCATCATTACTGAGGCTAGGACACTACTGGGAATGTGCATCTATGATTTAAAATTTCTGAACTCTTAATACATAAACACTGACAAATAAAAGCAGTTAGAATAAAAGAACGGAATGATAATCAAGCCTTTCAACAGCTTTCAAAGGCAATTACCTTTCCTTTGCTGTAGTCCCACAGCTTCAGCGTGCTAAAAGAAATACAAAAGGAAGTTTAAAATCGACAGTCAAATAAACAGACAGCAGCTCACTGTGATGTTGTGCTGCCTCCTGCTGGTGAAATCCAAGTAGTGCTTGTGAAAAACTGTACAGCTCCTTAAGAAGTCAATTCAGATTTAGTTATATAGCACCAAATCACAACATCACTCACCTCAAGGCGCTTTACAGTGAGAGACCCCAACAATCGAGCACCCCCCCCCCGATTAGCAAGCGTCATGCGATAGTGTGAAGGAAAGCCACAAAACTGAGCAACGTCTATACTCACTTATCCAGTGTAGCAGCCAGGATGTATTTCCCATTGGGGGAAAACTTTACAAACGACACAGGAGGGTTGTCGTCATCTAAGAAACACAAAAAACAAGAACGCATTGATCACAAAGACACGTTTAAAAAAAAAAAAACAAAACTGAAAAAACTCAAAGCTTCAACCTGATTGCATTTTTCATGCCTCAATACAAAACTAATTAGATTTGCTGTCACTAATCAATCGTTTAATTAGCACATTCTGCAACAAATCAAATCAAACGAGAAAAATTGGAACACGTGTGTGACTGATCTTACCTATCAGTGTCTTTAAACACTGCCCTGATGCTGTGTCCCAGATTCGACTGTGAATGAAAGATAACACAATTAACTGAGAGACATTTCCGTGTAAAAATAAATAAATTTCACACCAGATGACTAGAAAGTCATCCACATCAGCTACAATGGGATGATAAGGGATTCTTTTTAGCTCGAGCGCAGAGCAAATATGCCAGACATAGAGCATTTCCAGTTCTTATCAAAGGCAAGCTTGTTCTTTTAAAAAGCACCCATGTTCCCCGAACTGTGGCCAGAGAGTCTCAGGAGGATCCAAGTACTCACCAAAGGCCATCGTAGCTACTGGACACGATCAGAGAGCCGTCTCTGTTGAAGTGAACCTGCAAGCCGAGGCAGACCATCATGCCTTTAATACAGTGTTAATATTAAAGCCAGAGCATTTGTCTAATTAATTATAAAAAATTCACTTACAGCAGAGACTGGATCAGAATGAGCTGGCAGCGTTTTCAGACATTTCCCAGTCTTCACGTCCCATATCCTTACACTCTCATCGAACTAGAAACGGAAGAGAAAAAAAATAATCATTTTTTGGAAAACCACTCAGAAACTGCTTCTAATGCTCAAAGTGAGAGCTTTCGCAAAGGTCTAACATCTGCTTTCCATTTAGGTAGGACTTGTTTCTTGCCAAGAGCTTGGTACTCACCGATCCTGACACAATAAGATTGGACTGGGGGTTGAAGTTGCAGCAGAAGACGTAGTTGCTGTGACCTTTCAGAGTTTTTAAGCACTTCCCCTGGATTAGAGAGAAAATTGGTCGAAATGTCACATTTCTCACCCACACTGAAAAACCCAGGACCATCTTCAACTAAACCACACTACAAGTGCAGCTTTAAATGTAATACAATTTTAACATCAGCAGAAACCACTGATATGAACCTAAGAGTCTACATGGATTTCATTTTCATACTTCATAAAAGTATAATGATAAGAGACACAGCAGCGATGTAGACCGAGCCTTACCAAATCACTATCTCCCCTTTTTTACAGCAGTACACCGCATTTCCAACACACTGAGATTCTATTACAAGTAGTACTCCCAAACAAAGCCTTCTTGTTTACATATTTTTCTGACTCTATTATCAGAAAATAGGCCCATATAAAATAACCCATTAATACATTTTAATCAGCAACTTCCAAGCCATTTCTAATCTGTCGCTCTGCTAAGATCCGAATTTGATAAACGCAACATCATCCGACAAAATCAGCACATGACTTCAGCTAAATTTACAAAGAAATTCAGAAGCAAATCTAACTAAGTAAGCATGTCATAATGTCTCTGAACTTCTCTGAAAAGAGCATGTGATATCTTCTCCCAGTAACAGAATGAGAATGTGCAGGTAGAGTAAATAAAGGGGAGATTGTCCACAAGTTAACCAATCACAGATTGCATTGTTCTCTCAGACAGGAATAGTAAGTCCAGCCAAATGATCATGAGATGATCTTTTTCAGTATAAGGGCCTGAATAACAAGCCTCCCCATAGATTTAGTTGAAGTCATGCATTCAAGCAGTCAACAAATATTCTCAACATTGATTGTGAAAATGAAATCAGTATTTTTAGCAGTACCAGCAATACTGCATAATATCTGTGTCATAGTCAGAACAGGCTGTCAGCCTGGGGTGCAGCTCTCACAGATTCAGGCTTAAGACCAAGCTGGCGATGTGGGGAGAGAGCAGTGGATGACTCAGCCTACTGCACAGGACTGGACAAAGATCAGCTGAGTATTTTAAAGTACGTGTTTATAATATTCATCTTACAGTATTATACAAAAGTCTTGAGCCAGCCCTTGTTTCTTTATACTGTGCTAAGAAAATGGGAAATGGGGAGCAGTAAACTGTGCAATCATAAATAGAAATACAATACATAAAGTAAAAACAATTCTGATGAGCATGAAAGCCAATTCAGCACATCCTGCACTCTCTTAGGAAAACGTTCTTGTAATTTCTTTAAGTAGTCTTCAAGACTATTTCTGCAGGCTTCCTGGAGGACATCCTATGCTCCTCTTTGGATGTTGGCTGCCCTTTGTTCTGTTCTGTCAAAATGATCCTGCACTGCTTCAATAATGTCCGAGCTCTGGGGAGGGCATTTTATGATGAGGCTTCAGCAAACAGTAGGTCAACTGAAGGGCCAGGTGCATTTCTCAGAGTCTGTTTCAGGACTGTTTCAGATATTTTCATATTTAATCTGTCATAGATAGTTTTAAGGCCTGCCACTTCTTTTGCCCTTTACTTGTCCTGTTTCCTTTTTTGTAAAGGACACGCTGTACACCATGCTGAGATATGCCAAGTCTTCAGCTAATAGTTCTAGGGGAAATCACCTGGTTGGTACAAAAATATTATTTCATCCCATCAAACTTATATTTGGCATTTCTCAACAAAAGAAATGGG